TAAGTGTATTCATATATATAAATGTGAAAGAAAGAAAAGGAAATTTTCATGGGAACATCAGAACCAGTTAGTGTTTATAACTTACCCCACTAAAAACTTATTAATTATGGGAGGTTAAGAGATGCTGGACACAAAGGAAGAGTTAGATAATATAATACATTCCTACACAGAATCAGGAAAAACAAAACAAAGCTAACAAACAAAAAAATTACTACACAACAACATCACAGATCTCTGATTTTTGAAACTGGCATAAAAAAATTCATTCACTGCCTCTGTGTAAATTTTATTTTAGCAGCTGCTGATTAATGGCATTTCCTGACATTCAGTTCTGCAGTGATTAGCAGTATTTACTTGCCGTAGACATACAGGAGAATTCTGAATGCCCTGATGCACTTTAACGCATTCCAATACTACAGTCTAGAAGTTACTTTTGAAATAGAGGCCCAGGGAACATTTACCATATAAAAATGCTAATTACATCTACTTATTATAATAGCACAATTAACTTGTGCTACCAAAAGCGTTTGAAGATATCTCTGGGAACAGAAGCTAGTGGAAATGGGATAGTATTTTATTTTTGTTACTTCATAAAAGCTCTTCTGTGCATTGAGCAGAAATAAAATTGAGTGCATGGGAGAAAAACTAAACAGCACAATACCTCACCCAAAACTCCTAGATGGAAAAAATGCCAGCATAAAAGCTCTGAGTCTGTAGGAGCATTTTATATCTGCACATTATACACAGAATCTCATGCACAGCTCTGTTGCTTCTCTGAAACTGGCTCAGAATTCACCACTGATAAAGAGCTGTATTCCAGAATCTCAGTTTCCACAGTTAAAAATATTTGGAAATTGATATGACATATCTTTGAAGTATTAGCTTCCTATACTCCCTACTAAATTTACAGAAAGAACCTGCAAGAGTACACTTACAGTATACATTTCACAAGGATGAGGAGAACTAAATTGAAATTGATGAATCATATATGTAATAACACAATTACAATATTCATTGGTAGCATTTCATAAATACTTAGTCATGATATGTCTCAATGCTTTTTGTTTTTTAATGAACTCTTAGCTTCCAAGGCACTAGACAACTCAAAATATTAAATGAAGTAATAATTTGTCCTTTTTATGAAAAGCAACCCTCCAGTTGGAAAGTGAACAGGGCCAATATGGTAATGCACATCTGAATGTGCTCACAGCTTGAAACTAATAGCCTGAAGGAGATGAACTCAACGGTGCATTAGAACCAGAGAATATCCTAAGGTATACTTATGAGAAACAAATTTCCCCAGAAAGAGTTAGAAAAGGTTCAAGTAAGTCAAGTTACACGCTTCAATAAACAAATTCTCAATTGTAAGCATTTAAACAGCGGGAATTCGGGTGCCAGTCCAGTCTTTCTTTTTCCATTTCCTACAGAAAAATAAAAGTAATGTTTCCCCCATTCCAGATGTTATCAAGAGAATGAATTAAGGGCTTCTGTACTTTATGGATAATTATCCATCTCCCCCAGATACCAGCTCTATACGTCAGATTACTGAAACACCCCAGTGCCCAGGCACTTTTTCATTTTCTCTCAGTATATTCACCCGTCTTGACCTGCTACGGCTGCATATATGCTTAAAAGCAGTGACTGACCAATTGAATATTGTTATTTTCCTGAAATAATTTCATACTTTATAGTTATTATCTACTCAAGAAAGAGTATCATTAGAAACTTCCAATTAGAAATCCAACTCTATTTTTAAGGACCCATTAAGTTATTCAGTTTTCTGAGGCATTAAGTACTTGTAGGCCCCAGTGATGTTAAAGTAGCAGAAAAATTGTACTGATACTGGTCTAGTGGAATGCTATCCAGACACCATCACCTAGGGCCCATCAACCAGATGTCCTATCTGCAACTTTTTTAGTGCCTCCACACAAATGTGCACCATGTAGCAAGATGATCTTTTCTCCTATTAGACTTCACAATCAAGAAATATCTGCATGCCCCCTTACCTTTGATAACACAAATTTATTTTCCCCCAGACCTGCAAAGATGCAACAAGGCTTACTCACTTCCAGAGCGTATCAAACTGCTGAGTAGAGAGGTACAAATGGATAAGAGGCTGACAACATACCCCAGTCAAGCCCTATTAATTATGGGAGGTTAATAGATGCTGTCCACAAAGGAATTCTATACTAAAATAACCTGGGAAAGGTGTGGAATATGCAACCACAGGACTGCATCAGGACGCTACATACAGATGGACTTATATCACATCTTCTAAAATCTCAAGATCTTAGTCTAATTGCATTGGCAGCACCTAAACTACTAACCTATTACTAAAACAGCACTTCAACTATTGTGAAGCTAATTTTGGAATTACTCAAGATGGTCTTCAAGCACTGTTTCTCAAGTAAATTACTGAACAGAGAGCAATGACGAAGAAGTCCAGTTCTGCAGCAACCTAACTAAAAAGGATTTCAGAAATCTGTTAAATCCTTCTGAGAGTCAATGACACCTCTTAAGGTGACAGCACTCCCTTGTCAGAAGACTTACAGTTGCTGATAATGTTTCTGTCTGGATCCTAGTATGCTGCAGCATTTTGTCGCTTGTTCTGAAACAGCAGTTTGTCAACTCATTTTTTTTGGTGAGGGTGTAGAAGTATCTTATTAAAACAGTCACGTGTATTACACCCCACGTGTGGTCCCAACAATCTAGCCACGTCTATTTTGACGCAACTGAATGTTGACAAGAACATTTAAGTTTTCTGGCAGCACACTCCCATTTCTTAGCTAACAAGGTCTAAGCAGAAGCCATGGAGGTGCAGGGACACAAGCTGTCTGTGAAAATGAAGAGGATCATTTGGGTAGCACTTCCAACTCCAAGGAATAGGCTTCTGAAAACAAAATGGCCAAGGAATAGGCTTCTGAAAACAGCTGCCAGACATCTTAACAGAGTTAGATTCCTTTCATGGCTATTTCCAAAGTTTTGCATATGAATGCTCTAATTTATCCTGTTCTTTGTTTATGAGTTTTATGCTTTGCTTTGATTTATGGCAATAAGAAGAAGAAGGCAGGAGAAAAGTACTTTGCTACTAAGATGATCCTTGCATTCTAGTTTTAAATCTTTTTGTTTTAATAGTTATTATAGTATTAAGGCTCTTAATGGAGCTTTCAGACATTCATAAAAATGTGTGTGCATGGAAGTACATGTTTACACCCTCTAGAATGCATAAGTATGCACTTGCGTTTAAACACCCCTGCTGTATTCAGCTAGAATTTCACATTATATTAAGCTGTTCGTTTTCCTTAGACTTTCCAAAACAAATGGAAGAATTACCAAAAATTAGCATAACTTTTCTAAATATATTCCTCCCTGCAGTGATCGAAGAAATACAGACTAACAGAAGAAAAGAAAAAGTAAAGTATAAAATTAATTCTGAAGCAGCATTTCGTACTTGGATAGTAGAAAAAGGGGAGGACTTGGGTGTTGAGAAAGAAATACTTCATGTACAACAGCACTTTTAGTCTGAGATTCAGGGGCTAAGAACAAGGTTGCACTAAAACAATAAATACATGGATCTCTTCCTGCTACTCTCCCTAGCAAACTAACTTCCTTCAGCACACATGCACATTGATTACTTCAAGCACATAAAAAGCAAGAGGTGAATGAGAACTAGATTTCCCTAGTCATCTTCCCATGTTGTGGGATGCCCTGAACTGACTAATAAGGTAGTTTTCTTCTCACCATTGTGTTCCACTAACAGAATGGGAACAGAGTGGAATCTGGAATAACGCATCCTTAAAAATAAGTAAATAAGAAAGAATTGAGATAATTAAACCACTTTAAAATAACAATCCTAAGAAATGTTTTTTACTTGGTAACTACAGATTTAGTTTTTATTTTATATCACTCAGCTAAAGAATAAAAGAGACTTAAGCAAACATGAAAAGCAAAATTCTCCACAGTATTTTCTTTTTTTAAGATTTTTCTGCTTATTTAAAGCCAAACCTCCTAGAAGTATTAAAAACTCTCCAAATAAACAAAATCCCTTAAAAAACAACAACAACAACAAAGCACAAAGGGAAACTGGCAAGATTTTCTATTTTGCCCTACTTTCATGAAGGGTAAAATGTAACAAAAAGAATTCAAAAAATTGCTATTAGTAATCTATGATCTCCAATTCATTGGATTAAAAACTTGGCATCCCCTTGTACTAAAGGCCAGATATTTGTGGCAAACTCTTGATCTGTGGATAACTTAGAGATCAAAATATTTTAATTGCGTAAAAAGAAAAGCAATAAAGAAAATAGATGAAAAACTATTTTAGATCAATTCATGAAAATTAACTTCTATCTGCAAATCTGAAGATTTACCACAAATGACACTAAAAAAACAGTTTGCATGTTTAGTCACTGCATTACAGAAAAATCCCTTTAACCTCTAATGTTTTACAAGGACATCAGGTTAAAATTGAATGGTTCTGACAATTTTATTATCAGATCACCCATTCTATCTACTTTAAAAGGCAGAATCTATTTGGTCTTTTTCACACTAAGACAGCATAATTGTCACTGAGCTGTTGATCAACATCTCTATACTAAAAATATTGATTCTTGTCAGCCTGAGCTTTTACACTGACATACTCATATTTTGTCTCTGAAAGCATATAGAAAAAGCGTTATTCAATCCAACCAATTTCTGTTCAATGTCCATGCTGATTAAGAAAAATGCGTAGTTAGAGGTCAAATTCAAACACATTGCTATCACTCACATTTGTTTCATTATTTTCTGTGTAATTTATAACATATAAATGCCTGGTGAAGTTCAGTAATCTCAAACTACTTGCTTGTAACAAAGATGTCAAGATCTGATTTTCACATTGAATTGGAGCATTCCAGTGACAGAAACGCACAACTAGTGTTTTTTAACGACAGTTTCTCTCTACATTCCTCATCAAGTTAGCTTACATTAAAGTCATTACATGACTTCTCATGCAGACTTACAGTGCTGTCAATATATGCTTCTGTCCATACCACGTCATGCTCTTGGTCAATAACTTTTGGTCGGCTAAGAACGTGGAGGTATTCCATGACATTCTCTTGAACATCAGCTAAGGTGGAGATCTGAGTAAAAAACCCTGTAAAAACAGGCAATTTGAAGTTACAAATCATGCAAAACAAATTAAGGATTTCAAGGAGTACGATGTGTTACATCAGTTGTGTTTTCTGCTTGTTTATTTCCAAAGGAGAAACGCAAAGAAGGAACATTTGATGAGAAGCAGCCTCAAAGAGTAATAACCAGAAGAAGTCAGTAAAACTGTTGGCCATTCTTGAAAGTTTGGGTTCCCAAGACTGCTATGAATTTCTGGACCACAAATCCAAATTCTCTATTTCCAGAAAACTCCTGTTGCTTGATGGTAAATAAATACTACTTTTTTTTTTTTTTTTTTTTTTTTTTTAAACCCTGTTAACCATGAAGTTTGTACAAAACTATCTCACCTTAAGTTTGTCCAGTCTCAAGAAGCATTAATGATTAGAACTAGGCACAAAACAGTGGTTGCAGACATTCTAAAACATTTGTCCTTGTAGAATGTGACTAAAACTCTGATAACAACAGCAATGTTATTTTCAAATGGCAGGTCAGTGAGAATGGAGACTCGGATAGGAATTGCTTTTTTAAGTGATCACAGCTTTGTTAATCCTTTAAAACTTCACCTACAACCTGACAGCACTGAGAACAACAGAGGCCACAGCTATTTGAGCTGTCACCACTTCCTCTTCATTCCTTGCATGTCAAGTATATTTATAAGTCATCACCTTGGCTTTTGGAGTCCAAATCATGCAAGGGTGACAAAGGACTGACAAATTTCAAGGCTACGGTTTCACCAGGCATTACTTAAAAGCATCAATTGTCTTTCACGTACATTTCTTTACTGAAAAAGAACAATATAACATTTAGTCTTTTGATATGATCACATCTTCCATGGAGCTGCTAAATGAAACCTTCCACAGAAAACACTGCAGCTGGGAAGAACTTTTGGGTGGTGTTTATTATAGGCAGGATAAAGTCTGGCAAGGTTGTAAGGGGGGTCTCTTGTCTGAGAGCTGGAACTTTGCTTTAACACACCTGGCAGTGATCTGTGCAGTACAAAACATACATTTTACCTGACACCAGCAATAGATTCATATGCATGAATTAAGACAACATGTAGACAGCCTTTATGGCCAAATGACAATTCATAGTATTGTTTAATGTATACTTTCAATAAGTAGAAATCAATTTGATTATACTCTGAACTCAAATAATCCTAGTATAGTAGTATTGTATTAATATTCATAGCATAGTATTCACGCTGCTCCTATATTCAGTATTCATTTTAATAAAAATTCCTTCAGTCCAGTATTTTGTGAGAAGGCTGACAGCTACGTATACCATCAAGGCTTAACTGTTCTTAACTGTTGCTTCAAGACAGATGTGTATTTTTTTTTCCTAAGGTTTCCAAAGTTTTTTTCAGAATAAATGATTGTTATAAGTTTAATACAGGAATTTGTACTTGAGAAAGCAGAATCTTATGCAAATATTGTAAAGAAATAAATTTATACACTGAGATTACATGAGTTACTGGCTTAGAACAGTTACAAGAAAAATCAGTATTCTTATTTTCTCTTTCTGATGTGCTGCCTGCTTCAATTCTGTGACTGCAACTGGGTTTCCAAGATAAAAATATGAGGTTATCCCCTCCTGTGAGTGTTAGAATATATTTAACTTTCTGGTCCTCTGCATTTTGTTATGAACATCAATACTTAATCAAAATATGATTATTTGTCAATAACTTCACAAATTTTGTATCTATAAATACATTTGTATATTTACACACTGCAGCTTATAAACCTTTTAAACAAAGATTCCAAATACTTCCGAGCTCTTATTGTACAGGAGATAATCTACGTTTTCCCTAAGCAGTTCTGAGTGTCTGAGTTCTAGTATAACTCCAGAAAGCAGAAAAGAGAATTAATATTTGGAGGTCATTTGTTCAGCTCTGTTCACATGTCTCAAATTTCATCCTCAACAACTCATAGAAATTCAGAAAAATCAAGCAGAAGCACAGATAGACTACTAAACCTTTTGCCTTGCTTCCTGCAACTTAGCCTAGTGTGCAAAGGCTCAGCCAGGACTCAAACCACTAAAAGCAAAGAGCACACAAGACACTGCTCATTTCTTTGCGAGAGATTTGCAGCAGGAGATATCCAACTATGTTCACCTAACCCTGTTCTCATGCACCAAGCACATACTTTCAGTTGTCCCCATGGGCAAGTCTTTAATTGGCGTTAAATAACAGATTTAAGCATTGTTTTATTTCAGTTTTTTCCATGCGATTTTATATCATCACCCCAACATTCTTTCTTTCTGCTGAGCTCATGAAAATTTCACTGCATATAATGCCAATACTTCTCTCATAGCAGTCTGCAAATTTAGAGATGGAAAGATATTTGCACTGTGTGTTGTACAGTGAACAAAGGACCAACTGCTGTACTTACTGGTTTTATACCTTAACGATATTTAATATGTATTATGTCTAAAGTGTTAGAACAGATTAACCGTTTGAAAAAATGTCACAAGATGGTTTTAATCAAACATTACTTTCACATCCATACAGGTTGAAATCACAGTTAGCTAGTACTTTTTAATGTAATGCTTCAATTAAAGTCAAAATGTTAAAGGCTCATTTAAGAAGCTCTTAGATGTCTTTGCCTGGAAAATTATTTAATCACAGAATGTAAATTACCTTTCAGATAGAAAAAAAAAAGCCTTTTTGGAGAATAATCTTTTACTCCAATTGCCTCCTGAGAAGATTTTATATCCATTTTTCAAGTGAAAAAAATTTTCTGTTTAACACCCAAATGTTTGTGGCATACATGTCAATACATGTTGCAAGACACTGATGATGGTGAATTCTGTTTCGTTTTCATTTAGATGAGACCAATATGGATCAGGTAAAGCCAACCTGAGCAGATTATTCATAACTATCATGCATATGGTTGTGTACTATATTAAAAACTTCTCTCTGTACTATTTCCAAGATCACCTATTCTAATATCTCACATAACATCTTAAATAGTATGTCATAAGTCTCCATGTAGCACGCAAAATGTATTCATTTTTTGTAGTACTTGCAAACCAAATTATCCCTAAGCTGTACAGTAGAGCAAACAGTTTTTAGCCCAATTTCCTAAGACTAAAACAGACAGTGAATAAGTCTATTGCTTATTCTGAATACATTTCAAACAAACTTAGCAAAGAAATGAAAGTCTCAAAGACAAATGAAAAGTTGCGGCTACACTTGGATTGAAAGAAGTGATTTTGAGCATTCTGTTTGGAAGGAGCCAGATGGTAAATGTGCACATGTATGCTGGCACACATGTAGTTGCAGGCTAGCTATGCAGTGCTCCTAGCCTGGTGAGCATCACAGCTAGAGGAGTCAAGGTCAGCAAGTGAAGAAAAATGACCTCAGTATGGAAAAAAGAAAAATTTAAAAAAATATTTCACAGATGCATTCGCACATCAAGCTGCAAAACAAGAAAAGTTGAAAGAAAGAGTACGTTAGGTACTTTATTCCTTATAATTGGGTAGTTACAATGAACTGAACTTAAAGAAATACAAAAATTGCTGCCAACGATATGTAAGAGACATGACATGATGGAGTCAAGTATACGGGTTCTCTCTAGGTTTTTTCATAATGTGATCTCAGGGGTGGGTTTCATTTACAATTCTGTTTGAAAAATTCGCTGCTTGCATTCAACACTGTCTGCTTAAACATGATCTGTGTCCTCACAAATACGGTTTGTGTGTTCTTGTATGTCACATTAGAAAAATGTACAAAGATTTCATAGTTTCCATTATTTGTTTAATGTGAACTGTTTTCTATGAATGTATGGTTCATCTATTTTTTTTTCTATAAAGGTTTTTCCTTAAGTTCTAGTTTCCATTATAGCAAAGCAAACAGCTATGCAAATTACTTTTCCTACATTTTTGATGTTTGTCCTTACATACATTTTTAGATTTTCTCCTGTAGGAAAAATTCTACAAAAAAAATTACTGTAGTATAGGTAGGAACAGCATTTGGCAATGTTCTTTTAGTTCACTTTCTCTCCATATTTAGACCTTTTGATGATTCATGTGTTTGCAGCTATGTGTGACTAATGTCAAACCTCATAAGAATTAACTTCCTCCACTGTTAAGTTAAATTCTCCTTCCTAGAGATCAGAGATACCCCATGGGTTTAAAATCTTACCCTTCCTGTAGTGAGGTTTAATCGTCACATAAAGACACGCTCTGAAGTTCTGAGCAGAGTTGCTCAGGCCGTGTAACCAATGGCAGCAAACTTGTGCTTAACATTTTGCATTCTAACACATGCTTCTCCTCTCCCTGGTGTGTGAACTACACCACCCCAGGGCTCCTTACACTTAGTGCTACTTTCTTCTCCTCAGCAGGGAAAAAATTGTGAAAGAAACGGATAGGATTTGGTAATGACAAGCATGAGATATGAATAATCATATGGTTAAACAGAGACACTTATGCTATGCCTTTGCATAATTACACAGTGTGTTGCAATGTTTCTGGACAGCTTGTTTTTCTCTAAATTGTCCAACATCAGACTTGGAACTTTTAAAAATGCCCCCAAATACACTTTTAAATAGAGTGTGACGTTTCTCATTTTCTGGACGCATACAAAGTAGGTGCACTATTATTGCAACTAATAAAATACCCAGAATTAAAAAATTCCTCTTCTGGTAGGGGCTAAGGAGGGAATTCATTGTTTCACCACAGCTGTAAAGCTCACACAGAGAATGCATCCCCTCCTCCTAGGAGGCCTCTCAAGCAGGTGAACAGCCTGTAACTGGCTGCCTGCCACTCCCCACAATAGCCTACAGTGCGGGAGGTGCTGGGGTCATGCTATTAATGGGAATGGATGTGACTAAGGCTTCCTGTGCACAAGGCTTCCCTGCTAATACAATAGACTATAAACTGCTCCAGCTGGGGCACAGTTTGCCTCAGGGCTAATCTGTCCTCTGCTGGCACTTAGATAGCCGCTATCAGACCTCTGATATGCAAAGCATTTGCTCTTCAGTGCTTTCCCAGCTTCTGCTCCTTTGTACTGATGAATCCCCCTCTTTGTCCATTTTCCAATATGCTAAACACAGTGATCCTGGCTAATTAATAAGCATTCAAAACTGAGGCTGTCAAATTGCTAACACAGTATTTTGCTGAAAAAAAAATAATAAGCTTACTACTGTCTGCTTTGATAGTCAGTAACACATTAACTCCCATCTTTATTTTACAGCATTCTGTTGGAAGTGACTGCTGAGGAAAAGGCAGTGCCTGCTTATTTTAAAATCTGGAACATGCATACTGAGCATTAGGAAACTTTTACCTTCATGCAACTGAGGATGTTAGTAAATCTTAATTCTTTTCCTTCACATGCACTGTCTTATGGTACAGATGAGTAAATCATTGCAAATTTCACAAACCGCTCTAGAGGGACAGGACACTGGGGTTCTTGAATGTTTTAATGCATTTAAAATGGTTTGGTGTTTTGCTTCATTAAGCCAACTCCCTCTAGATATGCCCTACTTATACACAAAAATGAAACAGAAAATGAAGCCAGGGGGAGGGTGTCGTTCAAGGATTCATTGTTGGAATCTGGAAGCTAAATATGTTTTGCAAGGTGGTATGAATTTCCCCTGTGATCCGTTTAGATGGAAAGGACTGCTGTCCACAGTCTAGTCAGCTGGAAACCCACCAAACACCCTTCCTCTTGTTGCAATTCCAAGGCGAAAATCACTGCTAGGAAAATTGATTTTAGAGCCATTGACCCTCAGTGACAACAACATACTTTGGCCCACCCAGGAAAGCAGTAAACGGCAGTCCAGCCATTCAGGCAATCTTTAGACTGGCTTTCCTATACTGCTCATCTGTCTGTGCTGTAATCCTTCCCCTCACTAAAAGAAAATGAGTGAGCTGCAGCTGAAAACTGTAACGGAAAAACTCTAAATCCATACTGCCTGACATGATGACTGACGCTGCTTCCAGTTATGATTTTCAAAGTTATAAAAAACTATTTATTTTCTAATTAGAGGTAAAAGATTTTTTTGTATTGTAAGCTACCAGAAAGCAGATATTGTATGTACTCAGTAGAGTGTAAAAGAAAAAGTATAGAAGAAGCAGTAATTTAACTGTTTAGTTGATTCATATGAGTAAGATTCTGACTCAACGCAACGTGGCTCTGAAAAGAACAAAGCAGTCCTGAAAAATGACAAAGGTGACCCCTCAGAGAATAAAGACATGGACCAGATGATCTAGTGAGGCAGTCTGTACTGCCTGGTCCTGTTTTCTGAGTTGCTATACTTAGATCTTTATGAATCTGAAGAGCAGGACTAAAATATTTTGTTGATTAAATTGTCTTCAAAAAGATGCTTCAAAGGATTCTTATACTATTACTTAAACTAAATTATGGTGTAATATTAGCTGATTAAGACAAGACTTCAAACTAAGTAATTTCCATCAGCTGGACATAACAGTAGTTAAAGAAATAATGGCTAAATGGATAGCACCTGATGCAATTCATCATAATATAACGTGGCACAAAGGAAAAAAGAACTTTTTCCAAGAGAAAAGGAAAACCTGAAGACTAATTAATTTTGCTTTCCTCTTTTTTTTTTTTTTTTTTTTCTGAATTATTCTTACATTAGTCAGTCTTTTTACTGTAGCATCTCAGCATCTTATTTGTTTTAATGCTCTTTCTGTATAGAATAAATCTGTTTTTTCAATTACGCTGTCAGTTCCTTGAGGGACAGGATGTCTGGTGTTTTACATACCATGACTGACTCAACAGTGCTCACACAACATTCTTAGACGACAAACTAACTATGAGTGAGTAATAACAGCAATAATGGGACAAATGCTTTGAATCTAAGCTTTGTTCTCTGAACTAAATTTTAAGAATAGACCGTTAAGACGCTTCAGAAATTTTAATTTGCATGTTACAGGTAAATAAGCTTTTTCCTTGAAAAAAATAAACACCTTTTTTGACTAGACATCACTGGCACAATATTTGTATGCAGATACAACCATGTATGCAGACAGAATCAGTAATATAGCTTTAAAAGCTATGCTTTTACAGTAGAAAGTTAACTAACCTTTGTTAGCACAGGCCATCCACTTCAAGTTATCAGCAAAAGCAGCTTCTCTTCCAATCAGATAGGTAAAGATACGAACCTGAAGTTACAATGAAGAGATCAAATCAATTAAGGCTGCAGTCATTTAAAACTTACATAGTAGAATTTCAGATACAGATATGCAATTCATATGGATAGAGTTTTTTAAGAAAGTTTTACAGACAGTAATGACTTCATGACAAAATCTGGCTTTTGCTCAGTGTAACATAAAGACTTGTCTTTTTGGATGTTTTTAATATCTAATATTTAATAAAGTTAAGATTAAATGTCTGAAGTACAAATGAGAGTGAACTACAAGCATCAAAGTACAGTACAAAATTATTTGTTTGAGGCATATCTGTTTTGCATTGATGAATTCAGAAAATTGCTTTTGTGTGGAGGAAGAGGCACTTAACTAGTAAATAATTCTATAAATGAAGGATCTGAAACACCAATCAAGAACATTCCCCTCAGTTTTCATAGTTCATATGCTATTATATCTTTGTCAGCTTAGGTGTAAGTAGCCATGGGTAGCAACGGTGCTACCAAGAGATGAACTAAAAATTTTTGCCCTACAGTTGTGCAGCTGCAAACAGAAACATCTGTACAAAGAGCCATGCAGCTGGGCTACATTCATGTGTGTGAGAAGATAAATTCAGAAACTCGAATGCATATTGTGGGTAGATCCTGTCACTCCCATAACACAGAGCATCCTTTTATGTCAAATAATCCTTTCCGTAAAATCAAGAGCCTGTAGTATAAAAAGGTAGATCTTCATATCTTTTAAGTCATAATTGTTATCAAATTTACAAACATTCAATTATTATCAAATTATCAACTTTGGACATGTTTGTTTAAAGTGAAATATCTCTGCCCCTCAAATCATGATTGGCAGCTATCCTTGCTTCTGAAAGCAGTTTTTTTCCAAAACAGCAGTCAAATACAGACACTTCAGTAAAGCTATTATAAAACAGTGCAAAAATGCATCCAAAATATTTGCCTGATACCACTTTTCTCCTCAGGTGGATATGAGTAAAGGAGCCCTTCCAATCAAGCAGATCAACCACAAATTTATCATACTGCCTGTAGTGCCAGCATCTGTCTTATGCGTGAACACCACCTCTATACTATTTGCTTTTAACAGGACAGGATGAATTACAACTGCCTGTGCTGAGAAGAGGCACCTCCCTCAAGGCTCTACAGAGGTTGGCATTGAGCTAGAAAGGTGAGACAGCCCTGAGGTCAAAACAGTCACAGCCCGCAAAGCATCCCTCCAGAAACATGTACAGGATAGACATTTAAGAACTAAGCCTCTGCAACTCCTATCAGTCTTCTTAGACTGAATAAACTGGAATAGAGATTTTTTCTTTTTAATATAAAATAGTTATTTAAAGTTGTTATTTAAAAAAATGAAACTATAAGAACATTCCTATTCTTATGTCATCTGAATTGTTATCTTTTTCTGTACTTTGATATATTTCTGATTTTCCTATGCACTCACACAAACAACATCAGCACAAGCAGGATGTGGTGTAGCCACTGGTAAGTGTTGCTAAAAATACATGCTCTTTATTTCTGATATATAATTTTCACTAACAAAACAATGATATCAAACTATATGCTGGCTTTTGCAATGTGATACTCTCCACACAGCTAATGAAATATGCTGGCTGAAGTAACAAAATCCAAGATTAATGTCAAGGATTTGTCCTTTGGTTTAGATACATGCTCAGATGTAGAATTTAACATCTGAAGGATTTTTATTTTTGCTTGTTTTAAAGGGGTATCATGTTATTTTCAGTGTTAGTCTCTCGTTCTGTTATGTCTAGCACATTCTTGTTTCTTCTCAAAGTGTCACAGATGTCAAGCTTGTCCAAAATAAACACAGCAAGCTATTTGGAAGGTAGTAGTCTTGAGTTCCTTTCTTCTCTTTTTTTTTAATTTCTATTTTTTGCATTATTACTCTCAGTGCTGTATCTGACATACTGCTGTTTGAAGAACTCTGTTCTGCTCTTTCCGGGCAATGGGTCTGATCTGAAAGATTATCATTGATTCATCTGTAACTTCTGTAAGTGTGCAGCTATAACTTCATATGACCTATATAACACACAGCAAAAGAGAAAATTTCTTCCAGGATGCACATGAAAAATTATACACAAGAAATATCAGATTTCACATATTAGACCTAAATCTTTGAAGATTTGTATGACATTATATCTTTCCCTGTTTTTACTGATACTCTCCCTTATGCTTTCTGTACCAATATAAAAATTCTCACAGGCTGAAAAAGAGTAAAGTTAGTACACTGCAGGTTATCCCCTTGCAGTCTTCAATCTGGCCTGCACATTTCAGAGTAAATTAGATTTATATAATTAAGGCCATGACATCCAAAATATTATCAGTGTCAGAATAGATACTGGAAGAAATGAGAGGAAAAGATTTTAAAAAATTGAGGTTATTTTGCTCTGCCCAACACTTGCACTTAATTATAAGAGAAATAAACAGATCTTTCAGTTTACAGGATGACTTCTGAGGAGGAAATCACTCTTCTGGTTGGTCAGTTTCAGTTACGTGCCCTGTTGCAAGATGCAAAAACAGTTTTCACATTCTAGTTGTGAAAAAAAGCATCACTATGTGCAAAGGCTTTTAAATACCAAAGATATTTTTAGTAATAGCTTTATGTGAGAGCAACAATTGTCTCATCTTTATGGATAAGTGCTTTCACACACACACAACTGCATGCACACTTCTCATCTGAAAGGGACAGTAGCAGACAGTATGTATAACATCAGAATAATATCCTTCTAGAGTTACTCGTTACAAGAATAAGCTGTTCACAAATTGCCTGAAAGTAGGAAGAAAGTTATCTACTTATTATCATTAGCAAAAAATACTATGTTAAAGAAAAATTGAAGTCATCCCAAAGACCGTGGAGCAGAAAACACACACCACAAGGTCATGGGGTATATCACCCTTCTATGGCAGCTCAACTTGCTCTAGTCATGTGCTGACAGGAACTTCCTGAGGTCCAACAAAAGTATATGAAAACGTCCTGCATCTGGTGTAGAAAAGCCCCATGCATTAGCACAGGTAAGAGGAGCTGGATAGGAAGCAGCTCTGCAGAAGGTGAAGTACTGGGGAACAACAAGTGGGCCCTTGAGTCAAAGGATGCCAACTACAAACTGGGCTGTATTAGCAAAGTGTAAACAAGCATCATTATTCCTCTCCATTTCACTCCAAGACCATATCTGGAGTACCGACCCTGAGTTTTCAGCTCACTTACTGACATAATGAAGAAGCCAGTCTCTTCTTGAATGTAGACTGTAAGAGGACAAGAAGAGAAGAGGAAAAACTCAGAACAATGGCAATTCTGATTAGCTGTAAGGAAAACCCTTTTTATCATGAGGGCAATGAAATATAAAAACCATTGCCCAGAGAGGCTGCAGAACCTGCATCCTGAGAGACACTCTTGAACAGCCTGATTTATCATGCCTAAAGATAATATAGAGATAGTATTTTGACAACAAACTCTTATCTAGTCTTTAAAAGGTAAAACGTACATAAATTTCAATAATGATTTAAATAATTTAAAAATATATACACTAATTGTGCCATATTATTAATTAGTTCAAATCAAATAATATGCATAATCCCATCAAGAGTCTAAAGAATGCACGCTTTACTGATAGCTACAAAAAACATTAATTTAAAAATGTACGTATCTTTATTCTCTAACACAAGTGAAAGGGCACAGTATGATTTATACTCTGAAAATATAGCATGAATCACTGTCACAGTTTATCTTTCTGAAAACAATGCAAGAATACAGCCTACGATGAGACTGAATACATCTGAGAGATTTATATCTAACCATCTTCTTTAATCTAAACAGAATCAAACTACACTGTGTTCCTAAAAGAAGGAGACCAGCTTTATCTGAAAGAATGAGCAATAAGCACGATTATAAGCCCAGGCAGCAACAAAATTGCATTAAGCCTACAAATAAAATTTCAGCACATAGGTATCATAGATCATCATGAAGAGTGGACGAATTCTGCGATACTATTTCAAGGATTTTAGTGATTTTTCTGAGTGCATTTTAAATATGTACTAAAGTATATAAAGTATATATAAAGTATAAAGACACTTTATATCTACTGTTTCTCTACAAGGTATCTTAAGCATCATTAAAAATACTGCTATTTGGTTGGTATTAGCAGTAAAAATAAAAGCTAGGAAGTAGTCGGCTAGCACTGAAGATAAATTCATTAAATGCTGTTATCCTTCACTGTCATAATGAGTTGTATATTAATCTCTGCACTTCTCACTGCATACATCATAAAAATGATGTTTATTGGCTTTATCATAAGGTACAAAATATTTTATAAAAAGAAATCTAAGGTAAGCAATATTTGTAAAATACCATCTCTCTACTGTTCATTACTTAATAGATTGCTTTATTAACAGCGGCTTGATAAGAAAATAACCATGTAAACTAGAAAGGTATTTTAGTTAATGAAAGAAAACAACAAAAGCAAAAAAATCACTGAGACATTGAAGATTTATTTGTTTGTCACTAATTTTAAAGATACATTAACAGTTTTTTATGGATATTTTTTAATACTGTATTCAGGATAGTGAGAAAAATTCTCACAGTCAGCTCTTATAGCAAATGATTCTGATTATTGTACTACTTCAAAAAATCATTGATCAGTTTTTTGAATCCACCACCTGAAACATAATGTTTGTGCACCTGTAGTAGGAAGCACTTGTGAATCCTTAACCATTCAGTCTGGAATCAATTCTACAAAACAAATGCTTGTCAGAGATCCCAGCAGGTAGCAATAAAGCTAGAACTGAAAGTTGCATGAATAAGCCTACAACCTTAATTTCATTTTTCAGAATGAACTTATATCTAAATATCTCTTCTACACTTATTTTAACTCTTCAAGACAGGCATAAGGTTAAATTTTATGTAACAATTCCAGATGCGCAGGAATCATCCATAGTATGATAACAGTAAGCATGGAAAAAGCAACCATGGTTTTCTGCATCTACACA